TCCTTCCTTCCTTTCCCTCTCCTTCCTTCCTTCTTTCGTCTCCTTCCCACCTTCCTTCTCCGTCCTTCCTTTTTTCCTCTTTCCTTTTTCCCATTTTACGAGTTTCCTTGCCACATTTGTTAAGCCAACGAGAGATGCCGCAACCGTCATCAGTACATGCCCAGCGCTCTAATTTAGTTCGAGACGCTGCAAGGGGATTGTGAGCACTGGTCCCAAGTCACTTTTCCCAGTAACTTCAAACCGTCGTTAAACGAACAGCCGTAAGTCGAAGACTACCTGTAAACGAACGCAGCTTTCTTCCGCCAATTGAAAACGGGGAATTTATCTTTCTCGGTTGCGTTAAGAGGCGTGGTGGAATTTATGCTTTCTTTTTTTTTTTCTGCCTGTTGTGATTTTTGATCTTGTAAGGCGCCTGGCCTGTGAAATGGGCAGCTGTATATACATTGGTTTAATACATACGTGCATAATAAATAAATAAATCTTTTGTCGGTTTTAACACAGTCGCTAACAGCTGTCTATAAATTGCTTTATAATGAACAACTCACCAAATCAGCGCTCCGGATATCAACGTTGTCTTCATCAATTTAAGCAGCCGAGGATTCAAAGATACGATGCGGCAAATATTTGTGGCTTTCATTGGCTAAATGACATAAACCGACAAAATTTAGCAATTTATCCACGTTGATAAAACTCCTGTTCCAAGAATTTTTCAGCCCCAAATTAAGCCAGCTGGGTTAATCTCAGAATCAACTGAATTTGAAAAACAAGGAGATGTTCTGGGTTTTCGATCTGATATTCTGCTGTTCTTTTTATTTTCCTTTACGTCTTTAGCCAGTGGAACAGCCTGCCACCAGAAATCGTGGGTGCTCCATCACTGGAGGTTTTTAAGAAGAGACTATAGACAGCCACTTATTTGAAATAGCATAGGTTTTCCTCTTTGAGCAGGGGGCTGGACTAGAAGACCTCTAAGGTTCCCCCCCTTCCAGCTCTATTCTATTTATTTGTATCCTGCCTTTGTTCATATTTTTTTTGCCTAGTTTTTTTTTTTAATTCTCTCTTTATCCCGAATTGTACATCCTGTGCTTTATGGATGGATCAAAAGATATCTGGTGCCTCAAAGCTGAATTGACTTGACTTTAGGCAGTTTCATAGAATTTGACCAAAGCTATTAAGAAAATCAAAAAGGAAATGGTTAGAAACGAAAGTGGTTTGCTGGTTGGGCTTATGTTTTGTTTTTTTTTTGCTTTTATATATTTGTGAGTGGCATTTGTAGAAGGGGTTGCAAAGGGAACCCTTTGGGGGAAAAAAATCTCCCTAGAAAAAAAGAAAATCCAGAGACATTAAATTCTCCCGATGTCTAATACTTTTACCAAGCAGCAAAGCCAAGAAACCTTGCATAAAAATGTAAATAAATAAAAATTCAAAAAATCTTGTTTGGACTTTCATGGCAGTTTTGGACAAAGCCACAAATCTCACGTGTTGTGGATTCTCTGTGTAGGCACACATATGAGTGAAAAAACAGTCTTTATCTTTCCAGCTATAGCTTCTTCAGCACAGGATCAATCAAAAGATGAAGAGGCTACAGGAGGAAAGAAGGGAAACTGATTTAAAAAAAAAAAAAACACCCACCCACACAAACACAAATCCACAACTTGCTGGATTTTGGGTCTTGTCCAAAATTGTAATTTCAAGTCTAAACAAAAAGAGTGGATTTGGGCATGAAATTCAGGGATTTTGTCATCCTGAGTTATTTGAAAAAAGAATAAAGGCAGGATCGATCTCTCTCTCATCTCTCTCTTTATTGTCTATCTACAATATTTATATCTATCTACAGTATATCTATCTTTCTATCTACCTCTCTATCATCTATCTCTCATCTCTCTCTCTCATCTCTCTCTCATTCTCTCATCTATCTCTCTCATCTCTCTATAATCCCTCTCTCATCTATCTCTCTATAATCTCTTTCTCTCTCATCTATCTCTTTCTCTCATCTCACTCATCTCTCTCTCTCTCATCTATCTCATCTCTCTATCTCTCATCTCTATAATCTCTCATCTCTATAATCTCTCATCTATCTCATCTCTATAATCTCTCATCTCTCTCTCATCTCTCTCATCTCTCTATAATCTCTCTCTCATCTATTTATCTCATCTATAATCTTTCTCTCTCTCATCTCTCTATCTCTCTCTATCATCTCTCTATTTCTCTCATCTCTCTCATCTTTCTCTCTCACCTATATCATCTCTCTCATTATCTATAATCTCTCTCTCATCTATTTATCTCATCTATAATCTTTCTCTCATCTCTCTCTCTATACTCTAATTTATCTCTCATCTATTTCTCTCATCTATCTATAATCCCTCTCTCATCTATCTCTCTATAATCTCTTTCTCTCTCATCTATCTCTTTCTCTCTTCATCTATCATCTCTCTCTCTCTCTCTCTCATCTATCTCTCATCTCTATAATCTCTCTCATCTCTCTCTCACCGATATCATCTCTCATCTATCTATAATCTCTCTCTCATCTATTTATCTCATCTATAATCTTTCTCTCTCATCTCTCTATCTCTCTCTATACTCTCATCTTTTCCTCTCTATCTATAATCTCTCTCTCATCTCTCTATCTCTTTATCTCATCTATAATTTTTCATCTCTCTATCTCTTCTATACTGTCATCTCTCTCTCATCTCTCTCTTTCTCTCATCTCTCTATAATCTTGGTAGTACAGTGGTCTAAGGCACCCTGTTATTAAGCTGGTTATTAAGACCAGCTGCCTGCAATTACTGCAGGTTCGAATCTCTCCAAGGCTCAAGGTTGACTCAGCCTTTCCATCCTTTCTAAGGTGGGTAAAATGAGGACCCAGTTTGTGGGGGCAATAAGGTGACTTTGTATAAATATACAAAAGTATGAAGGCTATTGCTTAGCGCACTGTAAGCCGCCCTGAGTCTTTGGAGAAGGGCGGCATATAAATCAAATTTTAAAAAAATAAATCTCTTTCTCTGTCATCTCTCTCTCTCTATACTCTCTCATCTCTCTCTCTCTCATCTATCTATAATCTTTCTCTCACATATATCATCTCTCTCTATATCTCTCTCATCTCTTTATCTCATCTATAATGTCTCTTTCTCTTTCTCTCATCTCTCTATCTCTCTATGGAATTCTGGGAATTGAAGTCCACCTGCCTTACAACACTGCTTTAGATATATTATATATTTGGGAATAAAAATCGGAATATTTTTCTCTTTTCTCTCCTTTACTTTGGTGGGTTTTGGGTTTGGGTTGAGGAGGAGGGCAGAGCACGTGCTCCAGAGCCGGGAAGCAGGGAGCCACGTGATCCGAGCGAGGCGTTCCACCCGCCTCTCTTTCCCATCCACCCCCGCGAGACAAGGAGCCGGATGTGCGGACCGGCCCGTGGCATAGATGTAGGAAAGGGGTAGAACACTTCCGGTCTTTGCGTTTCAGCAAAATAAATATTGGGAATACGGAGTTCCGTTTCAAATACACAGGCGGGAAGGCGTGGCATTGGAGTGCATTTGAATTTTTAGAGGTTTTTAAGGGGAGTCTGTGGAAGTCTCAGCTGGAGAACTTTTTTAAAAAAAGAGAGCAAAAGTGATTTTTTTTTTAAATAAAGGAGTCCATGCTTTTTGAACTCCTTTCCATTTTTTAAAAAAAACTCGCTTTCATCGCGTTAAAGAGGAATAAGGATCCTAGGCCGCTTCTCCCTCTCTTGAATCTGCTCCCAACCCATCCGCCAATCTTGATTTTTCTCCTTAAATCTTGATTTCTCCGGTCTGTGCTAAAAAAAAACCAAAAAACCCAAAACGGGAACCCGGAATTTTGACAGCGCGTATCCCTCTACACTTTTTAAAAAAACCCAAATAGACGTAGATCTAGGGTCCCTGCATCCCGCGCGCTGTTCCGTTTCTCAGGCGACCCTTTCCCGGAAGTGACGCCACCGGAGAAGCGGAAGTGACGACGGAGAGGAAGTTTCTCCGCGAAGGAGGCGGCGGCGGCGGCGGCTTCAGCCATGTCAGCGGGCGGCTCGGGGCAGCGGGAGCCGGGGGCTTCGGGCGGGTGAGGAAGGCGCCCGGGCGGGGAGGAATCGGGGATGGAAGCCGGGTTAAAAAAGCCCCCGAGCCGGGCCTGCTGGGTCTCCCGGGTGCGGACTACAACTCCCATCAGCCCCCGCACCCCTTTCCCTCCCCCAGCCCTTCAGCTGACCCCCCCGCCTCTATTATCCCCCTCCCCACCTTATATTTTATATATTATAACGATGTACACAATTATATGTAAGTTCTTCGGGCGAGCCCTGGGTGCTTTAAAGACCCCCCCCTTAGACACGTGTGAAGCCCCCCAAAAGCCTGCCCAAAAGCCCCCTCCCCAAAAAGCCTGCTGAAAAAGTCCCCCCAAAAGCCCCCCTCTCCAAAAAACCTGGCCAAAAAGCTCCCCCAAAAGCCCCTTCCCCAAAAAGCTCCCCCAAAAGCCTGCCCAAAAGCCCCCTCCCCAAAAAACCTGCAGAAAAAGCTCCCCAAAAAGCCCCCTCCCCAAAAAGCCTGCTGAAAAAGTCCCCCCAAAAGCCCCCTCTCCAAAAAGCCTGGCCAAAAAACTCCCCCAAAAGTCCCTTCCCCAAAAAGCCTCCCCCAAAAGCCTGCCCAAAAGCCCCCTCCCCAAAACGCTCCCTCCCCAAAAGCCTCCTCCCCAAAAAGCCTGCCCAAAAAACTGCCCAAAAAGCCTCCCCAAAAAGCTCCCCCAAAAGCCTGCCCAAAAGCCCCCTCCCCAAGAAACCTGCAGAAAAAGCTCCCCAAAATGCTCCCTCCCCAAAAGCCTCCTCCCCAAAAAGCCTGCCCAAAAAGCCCCCTCCCCCAAAAGACACCCCCCCCAAAACCCTACAGGTCATTTTTAAGGAAGAGTCGAGGGGGGATTGGGGGGGGGCCGGTGAAAGGGGGGGGGGGGCGGAGGGGGGGAGGGAAAAAGAGGAGCCAGAAAGTTGGGGGGGGGGGGGGGCAGGGGGAAGAAGTGAAAGCTCACAATTTTGTGTCCTTTTTGTGGCTGTTTTTGTGGTTGTTGCCTGAATCTTGTGAGACTTGCTCTTGTGGAGGGTGTTGAGTGGAATTTTTTTAAAAAATGAATGTAATTTGCACCATAAATGTATTTGCTCACCAAAAAAAAAAAAAATGACAAGAGTGGAGCAACTGCTCACTGGAGAAGCAACTTAACGGGATCCTTGCTTAACTCCGTCCTATATTCCTCCATCCGATATCTATTATCGGATGATAATAGACTGAAATGATGAAATGATAGACTGATCATACTGATCTATCTATCTATCTATCTATCTATCTATCTATCTATCTATCTATCTATCTATCTATCTATCTATCCTGTATCTCTGTTATTTCTCCATATCACTATATCATTCTGATCTATATCTATTTATTTTATATATTTATTGGTCTTCTCCAGAGACTTAGGGCGGCTTACAATGCGTTAAGCAATAGCCTTCATACTTTTGTATATACCTGCTTAGTAGGACTTTTGCCCCCCCCCCAAAGCGGTGTTCTTTTTTATACAAAGTCAGCTTATTGCCCCCCACAATCCGGGTCCTCATTTTACCTACCTCGGAAGGCTGGAAGGCTGAGTCAGTCTTGAGCCTGGTGAGATTTGAACTTGCAGTAATTGCAGGCAGCTGGTGCTAGTTAATAGCACTTTAGTCCGCTGCGCCACCAAGGCTCTTTTTATCTATCATCTCTATCACTCTATCTCTCTACCTACCTACCTACCATCTCTCTCTCATATCTATCATCTATCTCTATATCTCTTTCTCAAATACCTCTAAGATATCTTTGTCTGTCTAATATCAATCTAACTGCCTTTGTCTATCCATACTGTCTAAACTCTAAAAGTCTAAACCAATACATCTGTCTGTCTCACTCCCGGTATGTATGTATGTATGTATGTATGTATGTATGTATGTATGTATGTATGTATCTATCTATCTATCTATCTATCTATCTATCTATCTATCTATCTGTCATCCACCTATCAATCTCAAATACATTTGTCTGTGTGTCCATGCAGGGATATTTTAAGATCTGAGGAATGAGGAGACCTTTCAGCAACAGAGGCCAGGTGTTGCAGGAAAGGGCTTTGTGTTTATGTGTAAATTGACACACACCCCGCATATCACCACCGCCTGCTTCATTCACACATACACACACACAATACTGTGTGAGACCAGCCATACGCTAAATAAATAAATAAACACACACACACCTGCCAGGGCAGGTGAGAGTTCGAGTTTGGCTTAGTTGGCTGTGGGTGACTTCAGCTCTTTCTCCTCAGGGAGAGGTGGAACCTCTTCACCCCCTCCAAAGCGGGCCTTGACTTCAGCTCTTTTTTTTGTTCTCTCTTGCCTCAAAGCGGCCTCTTTCGCCCCAAATTCTGTTCCTGTGGCCGTCTGGAGCTTGAACGGGCTCCAGTCTCCTCACTTGGACACCTCTGGGATGCTGGTGGTGCTGCTTCTTCCAGACTTCTTCATCCTGTTGGCCTCTGAGCTTTTCAGACTTCAATGCTTTTGTTCTCTTTTGCCTCCAAACGTCTGCCCTCATGGCCTTCTGGAGCTTGGCTGGTCTCCGGTCTCCTCACTTGGCCTTCTCTTGGCCTCTGGATTTCTTCTTCCTCATCTTCATCTTCCAGGCTTCTCCTCGTCATCCTATGAGGTTCACTCAACTTCAGCTGCAGGGCTGCTAGGCCTCTTTTTCCACCTCCTGAAGCGCCAAAAGTTTCCCTCAGGAGCTGCCTTTCCTTCTGGGTCTTCTGCTCCTTTTCTGGACTTTTCTGAGGCAAGCAGCGAATTCAGCTCTTTTCGCCTCAGGAATTGGGACTTCCTTCTGGATCTTCTTTGCCCAGTTTTCTTCAGCACCAGGGCTGCTTGGCTTATTTTCCACCTCCTGAAGGGCCAAAAGTTTCCCTCAGGGGGTCAAAAGTTTCCCTCAGGAGCTGCCTTTCCTTCTGGGTCTTCTGCTCCTTTTCTGGACATTTCTGAGGGGAGCAGCGGATTCAGCTCTTTTCGCCTCAGGAATTGGGACTTCCTTCTGGATCTTCTTTGCCCAGTTTTCTTCAGCTTCAGGGCTGCTTGGCCTCCTTTCTGCCTGCTGAGGCTCCAAGTGACTTCAAGCCCTTTTTCCCCTCAGGTTCCTGAGGTGGGCAGCGCCTTCATCTCTTTTCCCCTCAGGGGCCGTGACTTCCTCCTCCTCTTCCTCCTCCTCCTTCTCTTCCCAGTCTTCTCTTCCTTCCTTCTGTCCCTCGCAGTCTCTCTGGGCGATCTGACCCCTCTCCCTCAGCCGTGGGCCCTTTTTATACTTGAGGCGCTCTCCTCCGATTGGTGGAGTGCCTCAAGGAGCCCGGCTTTTGATTCGCTCTCCAGCCACCACCGCCTCATTGGCTCTTCCTTGAAAACCTGCCCGCTGTTTCCAGGGTTCATTTCTGGGTGGGCCGAAAAAGGAGAATTTTGAAGCAAAAAAAATGGATGGGTGAGAATTATTTGTTCCTGGTTGTTCATTCCAGTTGCTGATTTGGGTTTTTCCCCCGATCTCACAACAACCACGATCTGCAAAAAGAAACCATTAAGTGGATTCATAATTTTAAATTTTTATTAATCAATCAATTAATTAATTAATTAATTCATAGATCTGAATTCAACCTATTGTCAGAAGAATAATTTGGGGTTCCAACCTCAGGGTTGCAGGAGAATAAATAAAAAGGAGATCCAGAGAGAGCTGTGAGGAAAGAAGAAATATTTATTCCTAAAAGCAAAACAGTTGGCAGAGAACTGCAGAGAAATGGGGTACAGCGGCAGATTTTTATAGGGGGAACTTGTCTGGGGTTCTAGGGTAACACTTGAGGGGCATTCATATGTGTGTGTGTGTAGGTATGTTTATTTATTCTTGTCAACATGCACTTTGTGCATGTTGAAAAGAATAATTTAATTAACTGTGTTTTGCGGACCTTATCCTTTGATATGTGGATTAGGACCGAGTTACTTATTTAGGGTGGGGCGGTTCGAGGAAGTTAAAGATATTTTCCCCGTTTGCTATTTTTGCTTGCTTGATTTAATTTCAGCTTGATCGCCAATTTATCTAGTAGAGACATTGATCATTGTGGATTCTCTTCTTATTTTAAGGAAAGAGGGAAACGGTGGAAAAGAGTGACATATATTTTGATATAAAACGTCTCACGCGACGACGGTCACAGAGCTTCTGATTACAGAGAACAAATACAAAGTGTTCCAGAACGAGATTTGAGGAAATAAAAGCTGGACAGAAGAAATTAAAAAAAATATATATTTTGTTTTCTAATTTCCAGGCGCCGGAGCAAATGGGACCAGCCGGGCCCTTCGCCGGCTCTCTTTCTCCTTCCTGCTACCACCCCTGTGGCCGGCCGTCCCATCCAGGGCAGCGGTGACGGGATGTTGGGCTCGGAAGGTTCGGCGGCTCCTTTGGGAGCCTTGGATGCCGCGGCGGCGGTGGCCGCGAAAATCAACGCCATGTTGATGGCAAAAGGGAAGCTGAAGCCCTCGGCCAACTCCGCAGACAAGGTTAGTGGTTATGGAGGTGGGGTTTTTTTTTTTCCCCCTTGGTGTGCCTGCCGTCAGGTAATCCTCGACTTACGACCAGAAAGGAGGCCAAAGTTTCTGTCGCCAAGCGAGACAGCAACTCAGTGAGTTTTGCCCCGTTTTGCAACCTTTCTTGCCTCCGTTGTTAAGTGAACTTGTGCCGTTCTTATATTAGTCACACGGTGGTTAAGTGAACCCAGGTTTCCCCCCCCCAATTGACTCTGGCTTGTCAGAAGGTCGCAAAAGGTCATCACGGGTCGTCGTGACCGTCGTAAGTATGAGCCGGTTGCCAAGTGTCCAAATTTTGACAAGGGGATGGTCGTAAGTGTGAACAAGAGTCATAAGTCACCGTGCCGTTGTGACCTCAAGAGTTACCTTGAGGTAAAATGGACGGCCAATAAATTTCCAGGTCTCCTACTGCAAGTCACCCAGCAGGATTTCATGCCTAAATCAGAACTAGAACTCACCGCTTCCTAGTGATTAGCCCAAAGATACTAGGCTGGCTTTCATGCCTAAAATGGGACTAGAACTCCCTGTCTCCTAGTGATTGGTCCAAAATTACCCGGCCAGCTTTCATGCCCAAGTCAGAACTAGAACTCACTGCCTCCTGGGCATTGGCCCCAAAGTTACCAGTCTGGTTTTCATGCGTAAAATGAGAACTAGAACTCACCGCTTCCTAGTGATTGGCCCAAAGTCTCCAGGCTGGCTTTCATGCCTAAAATGGACTAGAACTCCCTGTCTCCTAGTGATTGGTCCAAAATTACCCGGCCAGCTTCATGCCCAAGTCAGAACTAGAACTCACTGCCTCCTGGGCATTGGCGCAAAGTCACCAGTCTGGTTTTCATGCCTAAAATGAGAACTAGAACTCCCTGTCTCCTAGTGATTGGCTCAAAGTCACCAGACTAGCTAGCTTTCATGCCCAAGTCAGAACTAGAACTCGCTGCCTCCTGGTGACAAACCCAAAGTCACCCAGCTGGCTTTCCTGCCTAAAGCGGGACTAGAACTCACAGCCTCCTGGTTTCTAGCACTTTCACCACTAGACCAAGCTGACTCTGTCTCGTTTTCATATTATTGTTATTATTTTTGTTCTACCTCTGCAGCTCCAGGCTCCAGGCAAAGGTCCGTCGGCAAACAAAAGCAAAGATGATCTCGTGGTGGCGGAAGTGGAGATCAACGACGTGCCACTCACGTGCCGAAATCTCCTAACAAGAGGACAGACGCAGGACGAGGTCTGGCGTCTTATCCAGGGGGGCTCTGCAGTACCTTAATTTCCCATAATATCAGCTTGGTAGGCTTAAAACAGGTCCATGCCTCCTTGGATTTCTGGGAGTTTGAAGTCCACCCCTCTTAAAGGATGCTGGCTGGGGGATTCTGGGAGTTGAAGTCCATCTATCTTAAAAGGATGCTGGCTGGGGAATTCTGGGAGTCGAAGTCCATCCATCTTAAAGGATGCTGGCTGGGGAATTCTGGGAGTCGAAGTCCACCCATCTTAAGGATGCTGGCTGGGGAATTCTGGGAGTCGAAGTCCACCCATCTTAAAGGATGCTGGCTGGGGAATTCTGGGAGTTGAAGTCCCAGGGCTAAGAAGCTCTGAATTTCCTTTGAGTTCCTTTTCTTCATTTTGATGGGGAAATCTGCCCCTTTATCTTCCCAAGAAGCCACAGGAAAATAATAATTTAGTGTAGCTTGTTTAGCATGATTTGGGGGTCTGCTAGAAATACCTTCATGAAAAAGACACATTTAAGAGGAATTTGGGGTTTCCATTGAACTTTGCTTGCATGGCTGATTGTGATTTTTTTCCCCTCCCCCTTTCTCCTCTTCCTCCCCTCCAATGTCTGCAGATAAGCAAGCTCAGTGGGCAGCAGTCTCCACTCGGGGACGATACATGACCGCAGAAGAGAAAATCAAAATTGGCCCTGGGTGTGTATTGCCCTTATCTCATCTCCATTTTATCTCGTTCAAAAGAAATCACGGTTCCCCAAACTCATTATTCTCAACTCGAAAGATATTTTTTTCAGCGTCTGAAGTCTTAATCTTGGTTTCGGATTATTTAAAAAAAATAAATAAATGAAACGTGCCTTCCTTTGTTTCCTTCCCCAGGGATCGTCCCCTGTACTTGCACGTCCAAGGACAGACGCGAGAACTGGTGGACAGTAAGTCGATTCTTAAGTTTGGCTTCGGTGGGCAAAAAAACCTCCGAAAATTTGGGTGGACTCAGGAATTCAGGAAAGAAAATGTAGCTTCCTTTGCATCCTGTGGCTGATTTTGTGGCTTAAGTGCTGGCTTGGGAATTCTGGGCGTGGAAATTCACTTGTCCTAAAGCATGCCTGTTTGAGGAATTCTGGAGTTGAAGTCCATTCCTCTTAAAGCATGCCAGCTGGGGAATTCTGGGAGTTGAAGTCCACCCATTTTAAAGCATGTTGGCTGGGGAATTCTGGGAGTTGAAGTCCACCTATCTTAAATCATGCTGGCTGGGGAATTCTGGGAGTTGAAGTCCACCTATCTTAATTCATGCTGGCTGGGGAATTCTGGGAGTTGAAATCCACCTCTCTTAAATCATGCTGGCTGGGGAATTCTGGGAGTTGAAGTCCACCCCTCTTAAACCAAGCTGGCTGGGGAAAAGCCACTGTTCGCTTGAAACAAGTAACTCAGTTCGCTTAACAGTCCACGGCCACAAAGGTGGCAAAATCCGGCAGGACTCCCTTAATGCCCGCCCTGCTTAGCAACAGGAACGTAAAGGTTTCGGCGCGTTTGATGCCATCGCTTCGTCCCTTGCAGGAGCTGTCAACCGGATCAAAGAAATCATCACCAACGGCGTCGTCAAAGCAGCCACCGGGTCCAGCCCCACCTTCAACGGGGCCACGGGATGGGGAAATCTGCCCCTTTATCTTCCCAAGAAGCCACAGGAAAATAATAATTTAGTGTAGCTTGTTTAGCATGATTTGGGGGTCTGCTAGAAATACCTTCATGAAAAAGACACATTTAAGAGGAATTTGGGGTTTCCATTGAACTTTGCTTGCATGGCTGATTGTGATTTTTTTCCCCCTCCCCCTTTCTCCTCTTCCTCCCCTCCAATGTCTGCAGATAAGCAAGCTCAGTGGGGCAGCAGTCTCCACTCGGGGACGATACATGACCGCGGAAGAGAAAATCAAAATTGGCCCTGGGTATGTATTGCCCTTATCTCATCTCCATTTTATCTCGTTCAAAGGAAATCACGGTTCCCCAAACTCATTATTCTCAACTCGAAAGATATTTTTTTCAGCGTCTGAAGTCTTAATCTTGGTTTCGGATTATTTTAAAAAAAAAATAAATGAAACGTGCCTTCCTTTGTTTCCTTCCCCAGGGATCGTCCCCTGTACTTGCACGTCCAAGGACAGACGCGAGAACTGGTGGACAGTAAGTCGATTCTTAAGTTTGGCTTCGGTGGGCAAAAAAACCTCCGAAAATTTGGGTGGACTCAGGAATTCAGGAAAGAAAATGTGGCTTCCTTTGCATCCTGTGGCTGATTTTGTGGCTTAGTGCTGGCTTGGGAATTCTGGGAGTTGAAATTCACTTGTCTTAAAGCATGCCTGTTTGAGGAATTCTGGGAGTTGAAGTCCATTCTTCTTAAAGCATGCCAGCTGGGGAATTCTGGGAGTTGAAGTCCACCCATTTTAAAGCATGTTGGCTGGGGAATTCTGGGAGTTGATGTCCACCTATCTTAAATCATGCTGGCTGGGGAATCCTGGGAGTTGAAGTCCACCTATCTTAAATCATGTTGGCTGGGGAATTCTGGGAGTTGATGTTCACCTATCTTAAATCATGCTGGCTGGTGAATTCTGGGAGTTGATGTTCACCTATCTTAAATCATGCTGGCTGGGGAATTCTGGGAGTTGATGTCCACCTATCTTAAATCATGCTGGCTGGTGAATTCTGGGAATTGAAGTCTACCCCTCTTAAACCAAGCTGGCTGGGGAAAAGCCACTGTTCGCTTGAAACAAATTCGCTTAACAGTCCACAAGGTGGTAAAATCCGGCAAGACTCCCTTAATGCCCGCCCTGCTTAGCAACAGGAACGTAAAGGTTTTGGCGCATTTGATGCCACCGCTTCGTCCCTTGCAGGAGCTGTCAACCGGATCAAAGAAATCATCACCAACGGCGTCGTCAAAGCAGCCACCGGGTCCAGCCCCACCTTCAACGGGGCCACGGTGACCGTCTATCACCAGCCCGCCCCCATTACTCCCTTGCCCCCAAGCGTGGGGCAAAAGACGCCCTTCCAGTCTGGCGGAGTAAGTATTGCTCTTCAAGTTTTGGGTTCTCGTTAACACTTTAAACGTTATCTCAGAAACTTATAGATAAGGAAAGGATCTCGACACATTTTTCCAGCTTGGTGGACGGGACATGTTCGGTTTAACTCTGATCTCTGCGTTGAGTGGGTTGATATGATGGGCAGAGCTAGGAGATTCGGGTGTCTTGACGGTTGCTAAACCCAAAGGCAGAGATTTATTTACTACCACTTTATAATGCCTTAGTAAGACCACACCTAGAATACGGCATCCAGTTTTGGTCGCCACGATGTAAAAAAGATGTGGAGACTCTGGAAAGAGTGCAGAGAAGAGCAACAAAGATGATTAAGGGACTGGAGGCTAAAACATACAAAGAACGGTTGCAGGAACTGGGTATGTCTAGTTTAATGAAAAGAAGGACTAAGGGAGACATGATAGCAGTCTTCCAATATTTGAGGGGCTCCCCCAACGAAGAGGGAGTCAAGCTATTCTCCAAAACACTCAAAAGTAGGACAAGAAGCAACGGCTGGAAACTAATCAAGGAGAGAAGCAACTTAGAACTAAGGAGAAATTTCCTGGCAGTTAGAACTGGGGAATTCTGGGAGTTTGAAGTCCACAAGTCTTAAAAGTTGCCAAAGTTGGAGAACCCCTATACTAGAGGATTAAGAAGGCCTGGTCCGTTGAGCCAGGGCTAGGCCGAAACCGTCCTCTTACAGAAATGCGATGGAGAGAGGGGTCCAGCTTCCAGAGAGCGGCGACCTTACTGTGCCATTCAACAGTACCCTCTTAGGTTTCCTCCGAGAGAAATCAGCTGTCAGCCCCGGAGGAGAAGGGCTGGAGGGTCAAATTACACGCCGTTTGCCCAGCGTCCGAATTTCGATCGCGTGAATCGGAAGCGTGACTCACTGGCCGCGAATGGCTTTTTCCAGTTGCTGTCGTAACCGGTCGCTGAAGGAATGACTCTTGGATATTTGTGTGTTTTACAGATGCATTACGTCCAGGATAAGCTGTTTGTGGGGCTGGAACACGCGGTGCCCACGTTCAGCATCAAGGAGAAGGTGGAAGGACCGGGCTGCTCGTATTTGCAGCACATCCAGATAGAAACGGGGGCGAAGGTGTTCCTTCGGGGGAAGGGCTCCGGCTGCATCGAACCCGCGTCTGGCCGCGAAGCTTTCGAACCCATGTACATATACATCAGGTAAGCAGAAGGCGGGATAGATTAGATGATAGATGATATAGATAGATTAGATGATTGATAGATTAGATAATATAGATAGATTAGATGATAGGTGATAGATAAATAGATTAGATGATTGATAGATTAGATGATATAAATAGATATAGATAGAAGAGATAGATAATGGTAGATGATAGAGTAGATAGATGATAGATTATTTGATAGATAGATGATAGAGTAGATAGATAATAGAATAGATATAGATACATAGATAGTAGAGAAAGATCTTTCACAATTCTTCTCCACCTGCCAAGGGGCTTCCTCTTGCTTTAAGTTCCTAAAATTCTTAAAACCCCTAAAACTGAAGAAGATCCCTTCTTCATCCTTCACGCTGAACGTTCCCCTCTTTTCTCTTTCAGCCACCCCAAGCCAGAAGGCCTGGCAGCAGCCAAAAAGCTTTGCGAGAACTTACTACAGACTGTAAGTGACTTCACCGACCCAGTTAACTAAACTTCTAACCGCCACCCTTTTATTCCCGTAACCACTTCAGTGGCACGGGAAAGGTCGTAAAACGAGGCCAAGTTCCCTTCACAAATATTTCACCCAGCGGCTAGATATTTCGGGGGCGCTTTTTGTCACGAGCCGAGGGCGGCCTGTACTTAGCAGCCGTTCCTCTCAACGCCCAAGTTGCCGGCCCCAATTATGGTCGCTAAACGAGGACGACCCGTATAAGACAAGCTTCAGGGTAGTGTGGAAAGTAATTTTTCAAAATAATTCGGTAACTAAGGAATGAACTGTTGCCACCGAAGAGGGGATCATTTCAGAAAGCCTCCGACAATAAAAAGCGGGTTTATTTATATAAATCCACTTAAGTGGATTTATATTTAAATATAAGTGGATTTATTTGTATTTCTATTTATTGGATCCTAATTATGAATCTGCAATTCCCTTTAAGGTCCACGCCGAATACTCGCGATTTGTAAACCAGATAACCACTGCGATGCCCTTAACAGGTAGGTCTTGACCAGCGGCTCAGCTACAGCTAGTCCTCGACTTACAGTGGTTCATTTAGCGACCGCTCAAAATTGCGACGGCACCGAAAAAAAGGGGACCGAGGACCGTTTTTCACAGTTTACGACCGTTGCGGCATCTCCCCCACCCCATCCTGGGTCACATGATCAAAAAATCAGAGGTTTGTTCGCCAGTTCACCCGCAGGTCGATGCTACCGGTTCGCCTGACCCACTCCGAACCGGCTGAATGCCACCATTGAAATAAATATCCCACTTAAGAACAGAAGTTTCCGTCGTGGTCGTAAGTCGAGGACTACCTGTATTTCAAGTTTCTGACCAGGGAGGGATGGGTAGGATTGTTCCCTCGGGGTTTTTGATCTTAATCCAAATCTATTTTTTTTTTTCTCTCCTTCCACTCCCCTCTGGCTGTTTTTTTGGCTCTCATCAGGATTCGCGCAACCAGCAACCATCGCAACTGTTCCCCCCCAGCCGCCATACTACCCCCCCAACGGCTTCCAGGCGAGCTACCCCATGGCTCCGCCCCCTCAGCAGCCGGGCCAACCTCCTTACGTGATGCCGGGCATCGGCCCTCCGGCGGTTCCCATGGCGCCCGGGGTACTGGCCCTCCCCACCAGCGTCCCTCCCGTTCCCACCCAGTACCCGATTACGCAAGTCCAGCCCGCAGCTACCACCAGCCAGGTACGAAAATGCAGTGCTTGCTTTGAATGTAATATTAAAATAATAATAATAAATAACAACAACAACAAGAACTTCCAGATCCTAGGAAAGACTGACTGTAGGTAGATTAAAATTGCTATAGGTGGAATAGCAGGCTTGAAGTGACAAATTTCTGGTAGATTAAAATGCCAAATCCAGTCTGAACATCTGGCTGAATGTGCGATATGATGATGATGATAAAACCAGTCTGAACATCTGGTTGAATGTGAAGAAGAAGAAGAAGAAAAATCTAGTATGAAACATCTGGCTGAATGCGATATAATAAGTCCAGTCTGAACATCTGCTTGAATGTGCGATATGATAATGATGATAAAACCAGTCTGAACATCTGGCTGAATGTGTGATATGATAATGATGATAAAACCAGTCTGAACATCTGGCTGAATGTGCGATATGATGATGATGATGAATCCAGTCTGAACATCTGGTTGAATGTGAAGAAGAAGATGATAAATCTAGTCTGAACATCTCTGGCTGAATGTGCGATATGATGATGATGATAAAACCAGTCTGAACATCTGGCTGAATGTGAAGAAGAAGATGATAAATCTAGTCTGAACATCTGGCTGAACGGTGGATATGATAATGATGATAAAACCAGTCTGAACATCTGGCTGAATGTGCGATATGATGATGATGATGATGAATCCAGTCTGAACATCTGGTTGAATGTGAAGAAGAAGAAGATAAATCCAGTCCTGAACATCTGGCTGAATGTGTGATATGATGATGATGATGAATCCAGTCTGAACATCTGGTTTGAATGTGTGAAGATGATGATGAATCCAGTCTGAACATCTGGCTGAATGTGTGATATGATAATGATGATAAAACCAGTCTGAACATCTGGCTGAATGTGAAGAAGAAGATGATAAAACCAGTCTGAACATCTGGCTGAACGTTGATGATATGATAATGATGATAAAAACATCTGAACATCTGGCTGAATGTGAAGAAGGAAGATGATAAATCTAGTCTGAACATCTGGCTGAAGTGTGATATGATATGATGATGATGATAAAACCAGTCTGAACATCTGGCTGAATGTGAAGAAGAAGATGATAAAATCTAGTCTGAACATCTGGCTGAATGTGTGTATGATAATGATGATAAAACCAGTCTGAACATCTGGCTGAATGTGTGATTATGATAGAATGGGGATAAAACCAGTCTGAACATCTGGCTGAATGTGCGATGTATGATGATGATGATGAATCCAGTCTGAACATCTGTGCTGAATGTGAAGAGATGATGTTAAATCTAGTCTGAACATCTGGCTGAACGACTGTGTCATGATAATGATGATAAAACCAGTCTGAACATCTGCTGAATGTGCGATATGATGATGATGATGATGAATCCAGTCTGAACATCTGGTTGATGTGAAGAAGAAGAAGAAGATAAATCCAGTCTGAACATCTGGCTGAATGTGCGATATGATGATGATGATGATAAAACCAGTCTGAACATCTGGCTGAATGTGAAGAAGAAGATGATAAATCTAGTCTGAACATCTGGCTGAACGCGTTGATATATATGTAATGATGATAAAAACCAGTCTGAACATCTGGCTGAATGTGAAGAAGAAGATGATAAAACCAGTCTGAACATACTGGCTGAATGTGCGATATGATGATGATGATGAATCCAGTCTGAACATCTGGCTGAATGTGAAGAAGAAGATGATAAATCTAGTCTGAACATCTGGCTGAACTGTGATATGATAATGATGATAAAACCAGTCTGAACATCTGGCTGAATGTGAAGAAGATGATAAATCTAGTCTGAACATCTGGCTGAATGTGTGATATGATAATGATGATAAAACCAGTCTGAACATCTGGCTGAATGTGTGATATGATAATGATGATAAAACCAGTCTGAACATCTGGCTGAATGTGCGATATGATGATGATGATGATGAATCCAGTCTCGCTGACATCTTTGAAGTGAAGAAGAAGAAGATAAATCCAGTCTGAACATCTGGCTGAATGTGCGATATGATGATGATGATAAAACCAGTCTGAACATCTGGTTGAATGTGAAGAAGAAGAAGAAGAAAAATCTAGTATGAACATCTGGCTGAATGCGATATAATAAGTCAGTCTGAACATCTGCTTGAATGTGCGATATGATAATGATGATAAAACCAGTCTGAACATCTGGCTGAATGTGTGATATGATAATGATGATAAAACCAGTCTGAACATCTGGCTGAATGTGCGATATGATGATGATGATGAATCCAGTCTGAACATCTGGTTGAATGTGAAGAAGAAGATGATAAATCTAGTCTGAACATCTGGCTGACATGTGATATATGATAATGATGATATAAAACCAGTCTGAACATCTGGCTGAATGTGAAGAAGAAGATGATAAATCTAGTCTGAACATCTGGCTGAACGTGTGATATGATAATGATGATAAAAACCAGTCTGAACATCTGGCTGAATGTGAAGAAGAAGATGATAAATCTAGTCTGAACATCTGGCTGAATGTGTGATATGATAATGATGATAAACCAGTCTGAACATCTGGCTGAATGTGTGATATGATGATGATGATGATAAAACCAGTCTGAACATCTGGCTGAATGTGAAGAAGAAGATGATAAATCTAGTCTGAACATCTGGCTGAACGTGTGATATGATAATGATGATAAAACCAGTCTGAACATCTGGCTGAATGTGAAGAAGAAGATGATAAATCTAGTCTGAACATCTGGCTGAATGTGTGATATGATAATGATGATAAAACCAGTCTGAACATCTGGCTGAATGTGCGATATGATGATGATGATGATAAAACCAGTCTGAACATCTGGCTGAATGTGAAGAAGAAGATGATAAATCTAGTCTGAAACATCTGCTGAACGTGTGATATGATAATGATGATAAAACCAGTCTGAACATCTGGCTGAATGTGAAGAAGAAGATGATAAATCTAGTCTGAACATCTGGCTGAATGTGTGATATGATAATGATGATAAAACCAGTCTGAACATCTGGCTGAATGTGTGATATGATAATGATGATAAAACCAGTCTGAACATCTGGCTGAATGTGCGATATGATGATGATGATGAATCCAGTCTGAACATCTGGCTGAATGTGAAGAAGAAGATGATAAATCTAGTCTGAACATCTGGCTGAATGTGTGATATGATAATGATGATAAAACCAGTCTGAACATCTGGCTGAATGTGAAGAAGAAGATGATAAATCTAGTCTGAACATCTGGCTGAATGTGTGATATGATAATGATGATAAAACCAGTCTGAACATCTGGCTGAATGTGTGATATGATAATGATGATAAAACCAGTCTGAACATTGGCTGAATGTGCGATATGATGATGATGATATGAATCCAGTCTGAACATCTGGTTGAATGTGAAGAAGAAGATAAATCCAGTCTGAACATCTGGCTGAATGTGATATGATGATGATGATAAAACCAGTCTGAACATCTGGTTGAATGTGAAGAAGAAGATGATAAATCTAGTCTGAACATCTGGCTGAACGTGTGATATGATAATGATGATAAAACCAGTCTGAACATCTGGCTGAATGTGCATGCGATATGATGATGATGATGATGATGAATCCAGTCTGAACATCTGTTTGAATGTGAAGAAGAAGAAGATAAATCCAGTCTGAACATCTGGCTGAATGTGCGATATGATGATGATAAAACCAGTCTGAACATCTGGCTGAATGTGCGATGATGATGTGATGAATCCAGTCTGAACTCTGGCTGAATGTGAAGATGAAGATGATAAATCTAGTCGATAAATCAGTCTGCTCATCTGGCTGAACGTGTGATATGATAATGATGATAAAACCAGTCTGAACATCTGGCTGAATGTGAAGAAGAAGATGATAAATCTAGTCTGAACATCTGGCTGAATGTGTGATATGATAATGATGATAAAACCAGTCTGAACATCTGGCTGAATGTGTGATATGATAATGATGATAAAACCAGTCTGAACATCTGGCTGAATGTGCGATATGATGATGATGATGAATCCAGTCTGAACATCTGGCTGAATGTGAAGAAGAAGATGATAAATCTAGTCTGAACTGAACTGTCTGGCTGAACGTGTGATATGATAATGATGATAAAACCAGTCTGAACATCTGGCTGAATGTGTGATATGATAATGATGATAAAACCAGTCTGAACATCTGGCTGAATGTGTGAAGATGATGATGAATCCAGTCTGAACATCTGGCTGAATGTGAAGAAGAAGATGATAAAACCAGTCTGAACATCTGGCTGAATGTGTGATATGATAATGATGATAAAACCAGTCTGAACATCTGGCTGAATGTGTGATATGATGATGATGATGAATCCAGTCTGAACATCTGGTTGAATGTGTGAAGATGATGATGAAATCCAGTCTGAACATCTGGCTGAATGTGTGATATGATAATGATGATAAAACCAGTCTGAACATCTGGCTGAATGTGAAGAAGAAGATGATAAAACCAGTCTGAACATCTGGCTGAACGTGTGATATGATAATGATGATAAAACCAGTCTGAACATCTGGCTGAATGTGAAGAAGAAGATGATAAATCTAGTCTGAACATCTGGCTGAATGTGTGATATGATAATGATGATAAAACCAGTCTGAACATCTGGCTGAATGTGTGAAGATGATGATGAATCCAGTCTGAACATCTGGCTGAATGTGAAGAAGAAGATGATAAAACCAGTCTGAACATCTGGCTGAATGTGTGATATGATAATGATGATAAAACCAGTCTGAACATCTGGCTGAATGTGCGATATGATGATGATGATGAATCCAGTCTGAACATCTGGTTGAATGTGAAGAAGAAGATGATAAATCTAGTCTGAACATCTGGCTGAATGTGCGATATGATGATGATGATAAAACCAGTCTGAACATCTGGCTGAATGTGAAGAAGAAGATGATAAATCTAG